TCATTAGCTCATCTCATTTGCTCACTAGACACATCTTGTTAGTAGAAGTCAGAAAATATAGAAACAAACAGAAAGCAAAATTTTGCTGAAGATCAGAATTACAAGGTCCTGACCACATCTATTACCCTGAAGAAACCACTTGTTAAGTATTCCATTCTACTTTCAAAACCTGTGAAAATTCTTCAACATCAGATACTTCAGTATTAGTATTAGTATTTTTAAAGGAAGGAAATAGGGAACAGTTGAACACTGTATTACATACCACTGGATCCACCCAAATTGTATTTCCCAGGACAAGTACTATTTTTGCTTCATGCAGTTTTCCTCTGATCTTGTGATTAATGTATCTAGTTACCTAACAAAAAACAAAGACAGTCTTCAGAGAAGAGACATGTTCCTTTTCAATGGCTGTAACATCCTTGTCAGTAGAAGCCATAGCTTGTTGCCTTTATAGATCCAAACCAGGCATTTGTCATCAAAAGAATTCCAAATATTCTTCAACTTGGAAGGGGCACAATAAGTTGCTTTATTGGCTCAGAACAGTTGACTTAAAAAGACAAGTGATTTACCACCAAAGTATATTACTATGATCATTTACTGGTAACAAGAGAGTTTAAGCATAAAGGTGAACTTTGACACTACTAGACTAAATTTGAAACTCTGTTGTTAATTAAACTTCCACTTTTAATCCTTATATCAACTGCTATTCTGAATTCACTTGCTTCTTCTTCCCCCAAGGAAAGTTTTTATCAACAGAGCAAACAATTATTTGAAAAGGTGCCTATTAAGTACGTTAATTAACTCAAAAGGATTCAGTCAATCTCAGTTATTGTTTTGTACCATGAAAGAACTAAAAATAAAACCAGAAAAAAAATAAAAACAAATTGGTTGTTCCTTATTTAAAATCAGGCATTAAGCACTGTTTAGCATAAGATAGTTCATTAGAACATCTGGAAAAGATTAAATTTGGGATTATTAAAAGTAAGTACTAACTGCCTCCAATGACCAAAAACTAAACCAAATCAACCCCAAACTTTGGGAACTTACTTTTGGATTCCATTCTGCTTCATTATCAATGGGTTTAACCCTACAAACTATGAATTCCACAGCCTGAGGAGGCAATGCTTGAAACTGTTCTGGTAAACTAAGCAAGCGATAATTTTGAACATAGCCAGTTCTGCCTTCATCTATATACTTGATGTGAACGCTGTAAAACACACAGGTGTCTTCTTTTGGTTGTACTTCTAGCACTTGAACCCTTTAAGAGAATACAGGAAAAAGACACTGGGAAATTCCAACTATTAAAACATACAAATTGGCCTTTTATGCCTTGTACAACCTACCACAATGTGTAATTCAGTGCAACAAATGAACTGCACATTCAGGATTATTAAATCAGACATGTAATACTGTTGATGTTCATAACAGTAGCATTATCTAGCACTGAATCACTTTTACAGGTAGTCCTTGCTTAATGATCATTCGTTCAGTGACCGTTTGAATTTACAATGGTGCTGAACGAAGAGACTTATGACCTGTTCTACAGAGAAGCTAAAATCAATTAAAAATACAATATAAAATGATCCTGAATAAATAATAAATAAACCAAACTAGGTTGAGTATATCCAGTCACACAACCGCTATAACCATAATTAATTTTTTATGATTAAGAATCGCTACAGGGTAGAGGCGGGCAACCTGTAACCACGCTTGGCCCCTTATGATCTTGCTGCTCAAACAAACCTGTTTTGGGAGATAACTTTAAGGGTGGGAACTTCCTGTAGCCCACTAGGAAGCTGGGAGGCTAAATTGGCCATCCCTGCCATAGGGCCTATATATGGTCCCTTTATTACGCTAGTAGTAATAAACTTAGGCAAGACCATATGAGAGACGAACAATGATTCTATGGGCACAGTGACGTCCAGATACAGCACTGTTTTCTTTTTTTTCTAGCTTAGACCATCACTGTATCAGTCATCATACAGGTAGTCTTTGGTTTATGTCCATTCATTTAGTGACCATTCAAAGTTATGATGGTGCTGAAAAAATGGAGGTATGACCGATCCTCAAAGTTCTGGCTATTGCAGCACCCCACAGTCATGCCATCATGATCCGAACACTCAGGTACCTGGGTCACAATTACAAAGTCACAGGGAGCTGCGGTTACATGATCACCATTTGCAACCTTCCCTACTGTCTTCCCACAAAGTCAATGGGGAAGGTGGCATGGAAGGTTGCAAGTCACTCTAGTAAGTTACTTCTGCTTTTTCTCCTGCCTGCAGCACCCCCCATCCACAGCCTCTGCCAGCCCTCCCAACTTGCACACAACTTGCATTGGCCCTCCCAGGCCCCCCATGCGGCCTGCAGCACCCCCACCCCCTTCCTTATCTGGGACTCCCACCCCCCCTTAATGACCCACGCATCTTGGGATTATGACGGCAACCAGGACTGCTATTGCTAAGTGATGCAGTCATGTGACACTGCGCTTTATGACCGCATCGGTTAGTGACAGCAATGCCAGTCCCAGTTGCTGCCATAACCCAAGGATTACCTGTAATGCTAATTTAATTTATTTCTACAATATCTTAAATATCCTACCTATGGAAAGAATTTTCTTCCTGCAATCCATATATTGCCAGCTTCTCCACTGTGTCAACAGAGGTAAGATTGCTAGATTTCTGATAATAATCCTTTATCTCTTTTTCAAGAGCTGCAAAAGGATTACTCCATTTCCCTACTATGCGGCCAAAGTAGTTTGTAGCATCCACAATAAAAAGAGGCAGTATCTGAAAGTAGAAATGCATGTAGAAAGCCCTGCACATTTCCTGGAAACCAACAAAGGAGGATTTCTACAAGTAATTATTTTTAAACGTCCATTAAAAACTCATCTGTTTTTTCTGTTTTCTCCCCATTCCCTTTCTTGGGCAAGGCTTTTTTTTTGGCTAGCACCAAAGTACATGAAACTGAAGCAATTCCGCAAGATCTTCTAAAATAACAGAAGGTACAGTGCAGTTAGGGTGACATCCAGCTGCTGAGGTGGGCATAATGGGATCAAGGCGATCCAGCAGGAAAGCTGTGTTTTCTGTGAGAAAGTGGAACAAGCTTCCTATGAGAACGTTCCGATCCACAGGACAACTGGCTCCTCCAATCTGTCAGTAAGCTTCTGTGTCTCTGTGGCCATTTCTGTTTTGGTTGTGCGAAGAGAACAGACTCACACCTGGCAGCCATAGTTTTCTTCACCTTTTGTTTGCTCTGATAGGAATAGCAACCTCATGAAATTTATTTCACAAGGTCACAATTCCTACTGATGCCTGTCCTGACAGAGGGGTTCTCCAAACCTTGCCTGCACTGGGGAAGTAAGCATTGCAGGGAGATCGCCTTCCACCTCTCCAGGCCCTTTAAACTCAGCACTTCAATATAAGTTTGCTTTTTCTGAGATGAGAAACAGCAACAAAAAAGCTATGCTGCTTCTCTACCCATTCAATTGCTGAATGTGTAAAAAATGTTACTTTCTGTGCAGGCAGCAATTTTACCAGCCTCACTGCAAAGGTGTAACAAAAAGACTGCTGTTGGGGCAGTAGTTTAAAAAGTGACACACTCGCCTCCCATCTCAGGGACTGGAGAAAACCAATAGCCATAGATATTTTGGAGCCAGGATTCTTTCCCTATTTGGCTGGCTGTCTTGTACTATTTAAGTTTTGAATTAAACTAGCATTTCTCCTTACCCATTTCTGTACCACTTTACTACCAATTTACGTATATAGTGCTAAGCTTTATCTGTTTTTGAAATGGCAAACTGGATACCATCATTACTTCAGAAATAAAAATCTGCTTCCGCTGCCTAATACAAACTATAAGCCTATTTATTCGAGGCGACCGTCCTACCGCAGAAAAAGGATGATTTTAAAATAATTATCTTCTACTATTCCATTACTATTATTCTATCTACAAGAATGTCTATATTCTGTTAGCCTATTTGCCCATCCCAGATTGCTGCTTAAAATAAGGTCTCTCCCTTCTCCCTCAAACAGCCTATCTTCAATATGATTATTTAAGCTGTTGACAGGATCCGTGTCTATTCCACTTTATTACCAGAATCTCAGTACTGTAGGGTCTCCTGAAACAACTAAAGCATCTTCCTAGATCAATATTAAACAAAAAGATTACCTCTATCTTAAGATCTGCTTACTGTGACATGAAACCCAACCAAGTCCAGCTTCCAGAAAGAATAAGTTTATTCACATTACTACACTACCACATCCAGTATTTCATCAAGACTTTCCTGCCCATGTAGTTTAGAGTTGTATATTTTAGTTCTGCTCACATATTTTAAGTATTTAGAAATTGAAGGTTTTTTACTGACTTACTGTTACATTTCCAGCTGTTGACAGAGTTTCATCAGCTACTTTTGAGGGCACATCAATTTGATGGCTAATACGATGGCGATCTGGACAGTGTTTTTTATTCCTGTGTGTTCATAAGGGGACAGAATTAAATAAAAGAATATTAAGGTACCAAATACAGCTATTACGATGGAGTTGTGCACGCAGTTCAGAAAGATAGTAATGTTTGAATCAAAAGAATAAAGCAAACAATTATGGATCAAGAATCCATATAATCACCACAGAGAAGAGAAAGCACACCTTACATGGAGAACACGGGCAAAAATGTCCAAAGAACAATTGTTCCCAAACTTGTCACTGGAGCACAATGGAGTGCTGTGGTTAATGACAGCAAAGGTCCTATGAACCCGAAGTGAGATCTACAGAGGGGCCCTGCATTCCTGAATGATTCACTAAAAGAATCAAGCAAAGGGCTGTATCTCAGTGATACAGCATATGTTTTGCATGGAGTCTTGGGCAGTGTGAAACATCAGAAGTTGTTAAGACAGACCCATTATTTGATGCTGTTCTTCCCTCCTCCTTTTCTTAACAAGCAATTTTGCTAAGAAGCCAAGTTCTACACCTTCCTTCTCTGTGTTACTCTTGAATAGATCAGGTGTTTCACATTTTCAGAGGATATTATAATGTAGATAGCAGCCAGAAAAAACCTCTCAAACTGCAGCCATTATAGATTACTATCTATACGTTTTGCTAAGTTTTAAGTTATCTTGTTACAGCAACAGAACAAGGAAAACAACTGCTAAAGTTAATGTCATTGGCATTTCCTTACTTGCATATTCCATATGCTTTAACGAAACGACAAAAAGGCTGCCTGCTCCTCCTCTCCTCTTTGGCTTCTAGCACTCCATTGGTAAAGTTGCACAATTCAGAAGGGATGTTGGCTTCTGTGCGCTTTAAATAATGCAACACTCCAATTGCATGGCAGGCACTTTTCTCGGTCAACAGCAAGATGGATTTTGCTTTGCTCTGCTCTTTTTCTAGAGATGAAATCTTTGCATGGAGGGGAGAAAAATTGATGTTTGCCATCACTTCTTAATACTGATTTGCAATGTTTGTGGAGTCTGCTAACAAAAAATGAAACGTTTCATTTTATTTAGAGAGCAAGGAAATTAAAAGGGCTTTATGAAAGAAACACGTGGCAAGAACAGAAGAGGTTACATTGTTAGTTGGAGAAAAAGTTCCACGCATAAATTAAAATTATTTTTGGAGCTAATAATAAGTAGAGTTATTGGTAGGGCTAGAGGACAAATGGTCACTGAAGTGTACTAAAAGGAAAAGAGGGAAAAGCTCAGGGAGATCTTTTCCATTTGAAATCTCAGAACTATACAGTGGTACCTCTAGTTACAAACTTAATCCATTCTGTGACTCTGGTTGCAACTCGGGTTGGTCTCAAGTCGAGGTAAAGTTTTCCATAAGGTTCAATGTAAATCTGGTTAATCTGTTCCGCCCTCTGAATTTGGTCGCACCACGAGGCAAATTTCCCCATAAGGTTCAATGTAAATCTGGTTAATCTGTTCCGCCCTCTGAATTTGGTCGCACCACGAGGCAAATTTCCCCATAAGGTTCAATGTAAATCTG